TTTGTTATACCCATGACTTTAAATTATAGAGTAAGAATGAAAACAAGATTTCTCCTCTCTTCTCCAGGGTCGGAAGTGCTTTCATCAGTGTTTCTCTACTACTATTTTAATGTTGACAGGAATGACGTAATCATCTTATGTCTGTCGCAGTATTTTTTTTAAATGCACTTTGTCAGAGGAGTGGAAACAACTCATCCTAAGCCCTTTTTCATTATTAAAGACAAAACAGAACTATAATATAATCTCAAGGAAAAAACACACTTCAGTAAGTTCCCACTAGTATACCTGAGACTTTACAGCAACTGCTGCTACAAAACACTAGGAGAGACTGGCAAATTTCCAAACAATTGCTGGTCCTCACATACAGGAAAAAAAAAACAGGAAGCGACTTAGAATTCTTTGAAAAAATAATCTGGGTGGAAACAAGCGTATTAGTTTGTTCTCATGCTGCTAATAAAGACACACTGGGACTGTGTAATTTGTAAAGGAAAGAGGTTTAATTGACTCACAGTTCCACAAGGCTGTGAGGCCTCAAAATCATGGTGGAAAGCGAGCGGGAAGCAAGACAGGTCTTACATGGCAGCAGGCAAGCCAGAGCTTGTGCAGGGCCACTCCAATTTATAAAACCATCAGATCTTGTGAGACTTATTCACTATCACAAGAACAGTATGGGGGAAACTGTCCCCATGATTCAATTCTCTCCACCTGGCCCTGCCCTTGACACATGTGGATTAATTACTACATTTCAACGTGAGATTTGGGTGGGGACACAGCAAACCACATCAGCAAGTTTAGGAATAGAAATTGGTAATAAATATACAAGTGTGAGTAGAAAGTTAAAGGTAATACTGAAGATTAAGAAAAATAAATGGAAGGAGACGTGGTTTTGGTGAAGGTTAAAATTGAAAGCTAAATTAAAGATGAAACCCATGCCACCAATTTTTGCTCCTTAGGTTTGTTTTAGATGTCAAGGACTGTGTTAAGAAAGACAAGAGTCAAATATGTACTGAGTAGGTTTTGAGAATATTTAGTAGATAACAAAGGAGAAATGTGAGAGCATTAAGATATTAAAATGTGAAAAGGATATTGAATTAAGAACCATTCTGACCCTGCCTAGGCTTCCATTAGTGCAGTATTTAGAGACTAGGCAGGTGGGCAAACTCAAATCCCGTGGGTGTGATACATTAAGAATCCATAGGCTGGGCACAGTGGTTCACGCCTGTAATCCCAGCACTTTGGTAGGCCGAGGCATGAGGATCACCTGAGGTCAGAAGTTCAAGACCAGCCTGGCCAATATGGCGAAACCCCATCTCTATTAAAAAATACAAAAATTAGCCAAGCGAGGTGGCAGGCACCTCTAATCCCAGCTACTCCGGAGGCTGAGACAGGAGAATTGCTTGAACCTAGGAGGCAGAAGTTGCAGTGAGCCAAGATGGCACCACTGCACTACAGCCTGGGCGACAGAGAGAGACGCTGTCTCAAAAAAAAAAAAAAAAATCCATACAGTGCCAGCACCAGTCTCCAATAACGTGTCTCTAGTGTCATCATGAAAAAAACCCCAACCTCCACAAGATGGACTCCAACTGCCTATTCTAGTATTTGAACACTTTCTCTGAATTGCCTTCTACACAAGCAAAATAGAAGATTTTCCCTTCATATCAATGTTCTTCCACTTAAATAGTCCACTATTGCCATCCATCTTGGGCTGCTCATGACTCTTTTTGTGACAATGTTTATACAACAGATCTCTTACGGTTACCACATGCAGCTTTCTTCTTAAGCATAGTGGAGTACAGAAGTGCATCTTAATCAGCCAAGCACACCAGTGCCCTTCTCCTCATGACTAAGCACAACCTCGTCATCCTTACCATCATGCACCTCTAATTTTCTCTTCCGTCTCCACTATTCCTAGGACATTCAATTAATGATTTTGAAATTCTAAAATAATCATGTGGGTGGCTACACAAATGGCAATGAACAGCACCATGGGGAATGTACTCAATAGCAGTTTTCTGAAGATGCAAACATGCTTTGTATACATGCAGTTTCTTAGGCCCATCTCAAAAAAAATCTTTTTAAAACAAAGGCATAACGTTAAAATATAAATCACTGACGACACGGTATTGGGGACAAGACAGGTTGACTATATATCTTAACCCTATCCAAGATGTTGCATTCTGATCATCTAACTCATTTCGACAGAATACACCATCTTGAAGAAGAATGAATGTATTATTCTTCAAATGTCAACTATGTTAGCTTTGTTTTTGTCAAGAATTAGAAAGCAATAAGGTTAAATTTTTAGTCAAGCCTATACTTAACACAAATCGATTGCATATTTCAAAATAGCTAGAATAACTTGAATGTTCCTAGTGTAAATAGACAGTAAATATTTAAGGGGATGGATATCTCAATTACCTTGATTTGATTATATGAATTTATCAAATTATCACATGTACTCCAAAAACATGTTCTTCTAATATGTATCAATAAAAAATAAATTTAAAAATAAAAAATTTAAAATATTTGTAGCTAACTGAAGAATGACCAATTTATTTTGAATAGAAAACATGCAGATAGAAAAACTATCATGAAAATTTAAAACTTGTGAACAAAGGGTAGGAATTTTAAAACGGTAATTTTTCTTAGAACTTTATGAAGTTCAAGAAAAATACCTTAAAACCAATATAAAGAATAGCAGGCACTGGACTAAGCAGTTCACCCACAATATCATGTTTTAATCTCACCACAGCCATAAGGCGGTAATAGCATGCCTAGTTATCATTCCAATTCTTCCTGTTGCAAGTAACAGAAAACCAGACCCCATCTGGCTGAAGCCAGTAAGTGAAAAGACTAACAGGAGGGCCAGCCTCAGGGTTCAAATACGTCACCAGGACTGGGTTGCGTCCCAGTCTCAGCTCTGCCAGTTCCTGTAGAATCCTCCTTCCAAGGTTCACAGGGTGGCTACCATAGCTTCAGGCCCTCACCTCATGATGACAAGACAGCAACACAGCCGCCATTTCATGTCTGTTCTCATTTCTACATTCAGTTAGAATTGAAGAAATTTTCCAGTAGCACCCACAAAAATACTGAGTCCACCTGGTTGGCCTACCTAGATATATCGCCAGCCCTGATTTAAGTCGCTGTGGTCAGGGGCTTGGATTTTCTGGTTTGCTTAGGCTAGTCATACGTCCCATCCCAGGACTGAAGAAGCGCCAGGGCTGTTGCTTTGCTGGAGAGTGGCTAATGTCCCCTTTACAAATAAGGAGCTCATGGTTTAGGAAGATGAGCTTGCCACAAATCAGATACTTGTAAAGTAAGTCAAAATTTGAACTTAAGTCTACTTATCTGAGCCCAAAGTCTTACAACCATTTATGGCTGTTAACCTAACACCTACGTCGCGGAATGGAAGAGTCCTAAGACTGCAAGGACCCCTCCTTTTCTTCCAGATCCAGTCTAAGTTGGTTGGTAATTTCTTCAGACCTTGCTTTCAGGGAAGTTTAAAAAAAAATTACTTGCATTTGTATATTTTCTTTGTATTTTCAGCCAAATTTCTTCTAATTAAAGTAAATTGAACCAACACAATGAAGTAATCGTCATTTTAAGAAAAAACAAACTTCTGCTGATTTCTGCTTCTGGTCATGGAGTGTGAGGGACCAGATTTAAGTTCTTAAACAACTACAAAATCAGACCAAAAAATACAATGGTTTCCAGGCATTGGACGACAGGCAGTGCAGGGCTGTGATCCTTAAGAGAAGGGAAGCAGCGAGCCAGGAGTTTCCAGGCCACAACCCAAATGGAGGCCAACAGAGTAACAGCAGAGGATACAGAGAGAGGGTTCCAGGGGCCAAGACGCAATCCGAGGGGAAGCCCTTCCGTGGAGAGCTGGAGTCCTGGAGCGGCCTTCTCGAGTCTTCCCGAGCAGGTCTGGGCAGCGAGGAAACATCGAGGCTGGAGTGAGCCAACCGGAGAAAGAACAGCCCCGAGCTCACAGGGGCGGGGAAGAGTTCCAGCTCGCGGCAGTCCCTGGGAGTAACAGCGCACTATTTGGGGCGTCGAGTTGGGGCGTCGAGTAAAGCACCGGAAGGCTCCGCTCAGGAGCGTGTACAGCATCGCCTGCTGCAAGCCTGGAAAGGAACGCGTTGCCTCGTCACTGCGATGTGTCACACGCGGCTCAGTCACCTCGGGAGCAGGAAAAGGCCAGCGGGCCACGCAGGGATCACCGGGGCCCGCATCCAACGCAAACGGCCAGGCCCACGAAACAGGAAACACAACCCGCAGCGAGAAGCAAAGGGATCCACAGAGAGGGGCCAGGAGTCACGGACGACGCCAGGCAGTCGGCGCCCACGCTTCCGCGGGCCAGGACGCCCGAGAGGCACAGGGGGACCGGGGAATGCCCCAGAAAACTGCCCTCGACTAAAAGCGCAGCGAAGGGGCGGTGCGCTCGAGACCCTGGAACGGGAACGACCACAGACACGCAGGGAAACGACCGGGTCCCAGGCCCAGGTGGGCGGGCGGCTGAGGAGCGTGGCTGCACCCACAAAGCCGCCAGCGGCTGCGGACTACAGCGAACCCGGCGCGGGACTCGGCCCTCACGACACGAGTCACTGCATGAGGCCTGGGCGGCTGCACGCCCCTGCACGTCAGCCCGCGGCGCCCAAACACCCTGCCAGGCAATCCCCAAACACGCCCGCAAAGCGAGCCTCGACTGGCACGCACCTGCGTCTCGACGCTGACGGCGGGCGCGGGGCTGAGGCCGGTGAGCATGCGCAATGTGGTGTGGACCGGGCGTGGCCGGCAAGCATGCGCAGTGTGGGCCGGGCGGGGCTGGCGAGCATGCGCAGTATGGGGCAGGGCGGGGCTGGCAAGCAAGCGCGAGGGGAGCCAGCGCGGAGGCGGGCGTTGCTACGGCAACGGCGGGCAGGCGGCCGGGGAGTTGCCAGAGGCAACCCGGGCATACATCCCTGGGTTCCGGTGTTCCCGGCGCAGTCAAGGCACGGAGAGGCTTTGGGGCGGGGGCGGAAAGAAGGGCGGCCCGCCAGGGGGTCCGTGGACTCGCTTTGGCCTCCTCCGAGGCGGGCCGGCGATGGCCGCAGCTGTGAGGCGAGGTCGGGTCCCGTAGCGGCGCGCAGCCTCCTCGGGGGACTCGGGGTCCTGGTTGGTTTCCACAGCTCTTCCTAAGGGTACGAATTTACGGCGGCCTAAAACCTTAGAACAGTGATGCCACGTCGGTAATTTCAGAACCCAGTAGGACCCGCTGTCATCAGGGGCCCCAGGCGCAGGGTGGTGTCGGCTTTCAGGGGAATTGGAGCCTCGTCGCCGCGCGCCTCCGGCATGAGTAGGATCTCAGAAAACGGTCAGCGGGGTTCGGAAGGCAGGAGATAAACACCAAGACCCTACTAGAATTGCATCTTTACGTCCTAGGCTTGGTCTCGTGTACTTTTCTTGAGCGTGTTTAATTAGCTGAAATCACTTGCTTTGGCACCCCAACGGTCGTTTTTGCCACCAAGCTCTGCCTCTTGAGCGTTTAATACTGGGATTTACAAAGCAACGTGTTCCTGTTCATCTTAGCTTTCAATACTGGGCAAGGGTTACGTTTCTAACCCTGCCAGTGCCACAGGCTCATTATGTATTGAAGGACTCACCTGGTGTTTGGTTTTCTCATTTATAAAGTGGAGCTGGACTAGATATCTGAAGCGTTTTCAATACCTTTAAATTCTAAATTTTAAACTCTAAAATTTAATGATACCGTAGGACTTTAAAAGAGTACAGGTTTCAAAAGCTCCTCACCTTGATATTAGTGACAGTGGCCTACCGTGTAGAAACTTGAGATTAAACTGCGCACTGCAGATACCACCCGACCGTTTTTAGTGTGATGCACACTATCTTCTGCAGCTTATAGGCTTTTTGGAAACAGGAACTGAGAAAATTCTGGCAGTGATCTTGCAGGATTTTAAATTCTTTCCACCATTTCTCCAAGTTCAGTTGTCTTGATGAGATATGGGGTGGAACTTCTTTCAAACATCTCTCGATGCCAGAATTGAACGGGAACAGGGAACGGTTGTTGTAAGAACCATCATCAAAGCCTCTGCAGGACTTGAGCAGCGACTGACGTTTTTACTCCTAACCCTGGATATCAGAGATTTGGTTCCACTGTGCTTTTCTGTCTCTGCACTCACGCCTTAGTGAGTTTGTTCTTTCGGTTGGAGTAATTTAATACAAGTGTTAGTCCTTAGATTATATTGGATTAATTTCTCTTGGGATTAATTTCTATTTTTACAGTTAGGCCCTCAATACAGTAAGTCCTCACTTAACATCATCCATAGGTTCTTAGAAACTGGAGCTTTAAGCCATGCAGTGTACAAGGAAACCAGTTTCACCATATGTTAATTGATATAAATAAGAGGTAAGTTCCCACAGCACATTCCTGGTCACAAAAACATCACCAAACTTCTAAGTAAAGACCGAAGCACTTCTAATATGAAACGCTGAAATACATATAAGCTCTACATACATTTAAGAAAGATCATTACCCAATTTCTGGTGAATCCATGAGTGACCAGGTCGTGGAGGGGCTGCGTTAAATCAAAGGTAATGTTGGCCAAGCCAAAGCTCTGAAGCGCCTCCCCCTACCATGTAGTTTCAAAACAACAGCCAATTCTCAGCCCGCTGGGCCTTTCCTACTGCATCAGGTATTGTCCTGCATCTCTGTGTGATTACCGTGTGCTTTACGAATTTTTATTTTACAATAATTTGTATCCCTCCGTTTTCCAACCTCCTTATTCCAGTTCAGGGTGGCAGGGGACTGAGCCCATCCAGGCAGCTCAGGACCAAGGAGGGCAACAGCCCTGGAGAGGACGGCATCCCATGGCAGGGCACACTCAACACTCACAGTTACTCAGACGGGGACATGCCAGTGAGCCTCACGTGCACAGCCTTGGGATGTGGGAGGAACCCGGGGTGCCTGGAGGAAACCCACAGCACGTGGGGAGAACGTGCAAACTCCACACAGTGGCCCCTGCCGGGGATCAATTTCTTTTCTCATCAACGTTACAAGGAAACGATGTTAGAAGAAATGTGTTCGAGGGCCTCCTGTGCCAGTTCTTAGATTACTTGAATAACTTTCTATTTCTCCTCATCACAGTATATTTTGAATACATCTGTCTTCATAAAATACACCATGTCCAAAATCTAGAAGGGCCAATTCCAAACTATTCCACCAGCTTTGAAGGGAATTGAAGCAAGAATAACAACAGTAAGTTCTGTGTGAAAAGACCTACTTTAGATACTTCAAAGGTCTCATTAATCCTTGCGGCAACCCTGCAAAGCCAGCATTGTTAGACCTGCTTTATAGATGAGGATCATGAGGCTCAGCTGTGGTTCAATATCTTGTGCAGCAAAGTGGTGGAATTCAGTTGGAACTCAAGTTGGTCTGTCCCCATATTCTGTACTTCTGTGTTCTGGAGAGACTGAAGTTAGCCAGTGTTCCTCTTGCGTTCCAGTTTCTTCATTGTTCCCTTTCTCCCCAAAAGAAGCATATCATGCTGATTTCCAGCCTGCCGGTTCTTTCCTCCTACCTGCAGTGTGCCATGTTCATTTCCCTCTACGTATCTTTCAAATGCCAGTTTAACTAGTTTTTCCGTTACAAGTCTCCAGTGTTAGCCTGAAATTTTGTAGTACTTGTGTATCATGTTATATTTAGCAATGGATTAATTCCTAGTAATTAACCATTTGTATTAATGTGTCCTCAGGAGCTCAGGGCTGAACTGTTTGAGGACAGGGATGAGTCGAAGCATAATTGACTTGAGTTCACCCCCTTCCTCCAGAACCAGAATGTGTAACTTAGTGCCACCCTGTAGCAGGCATTCCTGCCACTTCATGATCTGTTAGACTCTTACAGATCGTCCTCACAAACTGCATAGGTTTTTCTGTGCACTGTAGCTTTGACTTTCTGTTGACCATGTCTTTGCAGCAGAAGAATAGAAGGAAGGTGATGTGATGTGATGATAGAATTTGTGATAGCCAGGCAACAACTTTTCCTGATTCGGCATGTTAAAAAATAAGGTACACTATTCTTTTCTTAAACATACATATTATTTGACTCATGAAATGTATTTTAATTCAGCCATTTGAGAGTATAAAAACTAGTTTACAAACCCTGCTTCAACTAGGAATTGTCAGCAGGAATGGGCAATGCCAAGTGTGGCATGGGGCAGTGGATAGGCCGATGGAAAAACAATCTCTGGTGATATTTACTGCAGGCATCTCTTAGCTGTTTGGTGATTTTTATTCTGCACAGGAAATTACCAAGTTTTCACAAAAAGGCATAAGCTGAAATGGCAAGAGTCTCCTTAGTACTTGCCTGGAGTCTAATTTAATTATAGTGAAGCAGCATGGGTTTGTTTAGGCATGCACAGGTTTATAGGTCATAATGAATTTATTCATATTATAATTAAGCCTTTAGTAATTAAATGAAAAGATATTCCTGTATTGTTAACATAAATGCTGAGACGAGGGTCTGCTCCTGCTTAGGTAAACAATGAGTCAAGCGTTCCTTACTATTTGATTTGTTCGTATGTGCCATCAAAGTTGAGTATTGAAGCCTCAGTTCTCTTTTAAATGATATATTACATAATATTCATCTAAATATGACTTTTTTCCTACCTTTTAGGGTCACTCATCTAAGAAAGATAACTTGGCAGTCAATGCAGTTGCTTTACAAGATCACATTTTACGTGATCTTCAACTTCGAAATCTTTCAGTTGCAGATCATTCTAAGACACAGGTACAAAAGAAAGAGAACAAATCTCTAAAAAGAGATACAAAGGCAATAATAGATACTGGACTTAAAAAAACTATGCAGTGCCCCAAACTAGAAGATTCAGAAAAAGAATATGTTCTTGATCCCAAACCACCACCATTGACTTTGGGTAAGCTGATGTAGTCATTCATCTTTTGGCTTATTAGGGCTAAAAAATCTATTGAGATTAATAGTATAATTTTTTATGTTACAGAAATAATTTATTTATAATTATACAGAGAGGTATGTATGTATTGAAGGTGTGTATGTATTGAAGTTTAAAAATGATAGGGGACCTTTAGAGCAAGAAGGCAATAAGTAAATGGCAAGTAGGATAATAAGTAAAAATGGGAGAACAAAAGAAATGTCTGTTGATTCACATTGATAAAAATAAATGAGTAAATAAATGGTGGAAAAGAAAAATCCCTTATAGTAGAATGAATATAACTCATAGAGATAGTAGACAGGGGATAGAAAATCACCTTTGGCAAACACCACAGTAATGATCATCATTACTGAAATTAGGAATGAGAAAAATTATGTGCAGACACAGAATATTGAGGTAGTTTCTCCAGAGATGCAAGTACACGGCAGGGAGAAAAACAGTAACTTCACAGTTACTTCAGCTGTACAGTTGTAACACTTGGCAGGCAGCGCCTGCACCAAGTAATCCTAGTTAGCTCAGCAGTAACGCACGGGCCAGCCTCACGTGTCTCCTGCTGAAAGGTGCAACAGCACTTCTGTGGCATTCTTACAAAAATGCATATTTGAATTTAATCATGAGGAAACCTCAGACCAACCCAAGTGAAAGACATTCCACACAGTTCCTTGCTAGTACTCTTCAGAAGTGTCAAGTCAACAGAAGCAATTGAAGACCTAGAAACTGTTCCAGATTATAGGAGACTCAGGACATAGCTGCAAGTGCAGTCTGTGATCCTGGATCAGATCCTAGTTCCGAAAAAAGACATGAGTGTGACAGAGAACCAGACCTGCAGAAGGCATGTAGGCTAATTGATAGATTATAGCAACATTAATTTCATGGTTTTAATCTTTGTACTAGGGTTATATAAAAGGTTAACATTTGGGTTTAGGAACATATGATAATATTTTCTTTTTACAAGTGTGAATATTTATTTAGAATAAGACCAAAACTTGCAACAAATTAGGAATTTCAAAAAACATGAAATATATCCTAAACAAAAATCAATAAAAATAGCAATAATATTTTGTATTAATTAGCTTTCTGAAATATCTCTATAATACTTTTTCCATCTCTTTTGATTGCTGGATACTCTTTGATCATATTTTCATGTGACAATAATTCTGTAATGTCATTCTCTATAGAAATAAGTCAGCCTTACCTCCGTCATGGCTGATTGAAATTCTTTCCTTACGATAGGTGGGATGCATATAGCATGCAACTTGACACACATTCTTACTGTGTGTAGTATTGCTACAAGTTTGTGCCTGTAAATAAAGGCATGCAGATCAATTCCATTTCTTCTAATTAATAAAAGAAAGGACATGTATTATGCATTTATAATTGTAAATGCTGTTTTTAAGTATATTAGTTTCCCAGTGCTGCCGCAACAAATTAGTACAAACTGGGTGGGTTAAGTTTTCTCAGTGTCCTGGAGGCCAGAAGTCTAAAGTGGCGCCATTGGCAGGGTTCTATGGGAGAATCCTAACTTACTTTTCCCTGGTGGTTCCTGGCATTGCTTAGCTTGTGGCAGCATCACGCCAGTCTCTGTCTCTGACTTCACACAATCTTCTTCTCTACGTGTGATTGTACCCTCCCTTTCCTCTTCTTATAAGGATACCATTCATTGGATGTAGGGCCAACTTTAAACCAGTATGACCTCATCTTAACTACATCTGCAAAGACCCTATTTCCAAATAATGTCAACATCCTGAGGTTCCAGGTGAACAAGAATTTTGAGATGACGCTATTCAACCCAGTACATCAAGTATGCCCCTGATAGGGGAGAACTTCCATTTAGATTTGGCATCAATGAGAACAGAATCCTTCACTTACATTTGTTGTCTGGAAGACTTTTTCACAACATCAAGCTGAGTACTTTTCATACTTTGTTCCTTATCCACTACTCACATATATTACTGTGTTGATAGGTGCAAGAGGTCTTTTGATAGCTCACAGTGGCTAGGCTATGGTTTGAATGTTTGTCCCCTCCAAAGCTCATGTTGAAATTTCATTTTGTTTTGTTTTACTGAGATGGAGTCTTGCTCTGTTGCCCAGGCTGGAGTGCAGTGGCACAATCTCGGCCCACTGCAACCTCTGCCTTCTGGGTTCAAGTGATTCTCGTGCCTCAACCTCCCAAGTAGCTGGAATTACAGGTGTGTGCCACCATACCCTGCTAATTTTTGTATTTTTAGTAGAGACGGGGTTTTGCCATGTTGGCCAGGCTGGTCTCAAACTCCTGACCTGAGGTGATCCACCTGCCTCAGCCTCCCAAAGTGTTGGGATTACAGGTGTGAGCCACCACGCCTGGCCTGTTTTTTGATTTTTTTGTTTGTTTGCTTTTTGTGTGTGTTTCTTCTTTTTTATTTATTTTTATTTCAATAGCTTTTGTGGTACAAGTGGTTTTTGGTTACATGGATGAGTTATATAGTGGTGAATTCTGAGATTTTAGTGCACCCACCACCAGAGTAGTGTACATTGTACCTGAAGTGCAGTTTTTTTAATCCCACACCCCTCCCACCCTCTGCCTTCTGAGTCTCCAATGTTCATTATACCATTCTGTATGCCTTTGCATACCCATACGTTAGCTTCCACTTATAAGTGAGAGCATACAACATGAGTTACCTCACTTGCAATAATGGCCTCCAGCTCCATCCAAGCTGCTGCAGAAGACATTTTTTCATTCATTTTTATGGCTGAGTAGTGTTCTATGGTGTATATATACCATATTTTCTTTATCTACTCATTGGTTCATGGGCACTTAGGTTGGTTCCATATCTTTGCAGTTGTGAATTGGGCTGCAATAAACATACGTATGCATGTGTCTTTTTCATATAATGACTTCTTTTCCTTTGGGTAGACACATCCTTTGTGTTGTTTGTTGGCCTTTATCTAATTATAGGATTTCCCTTTTAGCAAGTTGCTAGAGGTTTTTTTTTCTTGCTGATTTGTTTGAGTTCCTGGTAGATTCTGGATACTAGTCCTTTGTTGAGAATTCTTCATACTGTTTTTACAACCTTTTGTAAATCTGAAATTATTTTATACTGAAAAGTTAGAAATATGATTTTTAAATGGTGGGCATAGAAAATAGGTTTGGTTGAGGACCATGTGTCCTAGCACAGGTCAGATGGATCTGGAGGTGCTGGAAGGCCTGTTGTGTTGGAGTCGCACAAGGTGGAGGGGACCTCTTCCCACAGCAGTGGCAGGGGAGATGTTTGATGCTGTCTTCCTCTGAACTTCTGCTAACAAGCTTGTTGTCTTCTAGAAAACAGTGTGGCTCATGAACATGTTGAGACTTGGAATAATGTCATACAACAGTTTAGTGAAGATCCTCTGTTGTGCCTGTGTGGTTTAAAATGTAGATGACCAAATAGTTTCATCATAATCAATCTTAATCAGGAAAAATTTAAATTAGACATAAAGAGGAACGTCCCAATTTGGAAAATAAGTAAAGTTATTAAGGAAAATGCATGAGACCTTTTTTCAGGACCTCTTTATGGAAAAAATCTTGATTGTGCATATTAGTTACTAATGACATTGAACCATATGCTCTTTACTATCTATATGTAATATTCCACTTGGATTTCTGTCTTTTCTTGCTGATTTACTGGAGTTCTTTGCATATTCTACATAGTAATCTCTTGTTGATTTAGCCAGTGAAAATATCTTCTGTTCTTTTACCATCTTTTAAATTATATCTGTCGTTTTATATTGAATACAATTTTCATTCTGATTAATGTTAAATCCATTGTTTTTGTTTTTGTTTTTTACTTTATTGCTGCTTGGGGGAGACTTAAGATTTTCTTCACCATTCTGAGAGTGCAAGGATTTTTCTACATTTTCTTTAACCTTTTACATTTCACATTTAGATGTCGCCACAGTTTGTGTTGCTTATGATACTGGGAAAATCGTGGTTAAATGAGGTTAAAGCATGTTCTGTTCTCTCCTTCCAAGGCTTCTGTTTCTATGTCAGTATTGCACTGTTTTGATTAATAGAGTCTTGTTATATGTCTTAATAGCTGCTAGGAAAAGACCTTTCCTCTTTTTTTTCCTCTAAAGCTGCCCCATTTTCTACATAAAATTCTGCTGGAGATGTTTTTTGAATTGGATTTGTAGATGGGGGAAATACCGTATTTACAATGTTATCATCTGATCCACAAATATGGTGGCATCTCACACCATTTAGATCTTTTTGTCTCCGACTTCTAGGGGTTTTCTGAGCAAGTCAGTTGATCTCTGCAGTGATTCTTATTGTCTGTGCCTTTCTACTTTTATGCCCCTTCTTCTTTTGCCCCGCTTTGTTTTCAATCTGGACAGGATCTCCTGAGCTGTGGTGAATACACGTAGTAATACCTAGCGTTTCTGTCTTGTTCCTGAACCTAACACATTTCATTTCCCTACTTATGTGATGTTTGCCCTTTGTTTATTGTTCTGTTTTGTGGTGTTTGTTGGCCTTTATCTAATTATAGGATTTCCCTTTTAGCAAGTTGCTAGAGGTTTTTAAACTCATTAATAGGTGTATTTTTTTAGGTGCTGTTTTCCTGCAACTTTTCAGATGAACATGTTTGTTGTGGGTTTTCTCCTTGAGTTCATTTGTGCCGTAAATTACAGTGACAGACTCTGATATTGAATCTTTGTGCATAGCTTGAATAAACCCTACTTGCCCACGGTGTTTTTCAAATTCACTGTTGCATTCTGATAACTAATTCTCGTTCAGGATGTTTGACGTTTAACCATGGATTACCCTGGACTATGATTGTCCTTGTCTGGTTTTATTATCAAAGCCATATAAGCTTCGCCAAATAAGTTGGGCAGTGTTCCCTCTTGTTCAGTATTCTGGAATAACAGAAAATAGGGATGATATGTTCCTTAAAAGTTTGGGGTAACTCAATTGTAAAACCATCTGGGCCTGAGGCTCTTTTGTTCCTTTAAGTGGGGTGAGGAGAGGTGATGGATTAGGATGCGTTTGGCTGCAAGTATACGAACAACACACTGAAAGTGATGTCAGCCTTAACGGTGTGTGTCATTGTTCACAGCAGTTCTGGTTTGGTGGCTTATTGATGTTTGCCGGGACCAGCCTCCTTCCGGTGCTGCCGTCGGGTGCTGCTGCCCTGTGCATGGACACAAGAGGGTGCACAGCCCCAGGGTCAGTCCTCAACAACAAGGGATGAGCTGGAAAGGCGGGGGAGAAAGTTCCCAACAGACCTTCCTTCCGCTTCACCTGAGATGGCCACATGCCCATTGATAGTCTAAAAATTGGCATAGGGTAGCAAGACTTCCATGACGTGCTTAGATCCATCAGTAGACCTGTGAGGCTGAGCCCATTTCCACTGATACGCAGTATGGTTCTGCAGGCAAGATGAGCGCTGTATGTGCTACTGATTTTCAACATTATTGCCTTGTGGCCAGAGAACACAGCAGTTTGCTGAAATCTGTCAATACAATTATTTACCTTCCCTCCCGTTCTAAGGTCTTGATTAGTTTATAAATATAAAGCCAGGTTTGCATGATGGGGAGATGTGGATGCTTGAAGTTGAAGCAGTTGGCATTGACCATAGCAGAGTCTGGAGTGTGCAGCAAGCGCCCACCCAGGTCTAAGAGGAGCAGTGGCGCCGGGTCCCCGTCTATCCCTGAAGAGGAGCAGTGGCGCCGGGTCCCCGTCTCTCCCTGAAGAGGAGCAGTGGCGCCGGGGGCCCCGTCTCTCCCTGAAGAGGAGGAGTGGCGCTGGGGGCCCTGTCTCTTCCTGCTCCCACACCTTGAGCCAAAGGCAAAGAGCTGGCCTGAGGCAGCGCCCCTCCTCTGCAACCTCAGTCTCAGCCTCTTCAGTCTTACTGTTTCCTTTGTTTCTCTGCAGGCCAAGTGCTCTCTCACTAATGGCCATCTGCACATCCTTTTCCTCCATCTAGAAAACCTCCCCCTTCACCCACTGCTGTTACTCTTCACCCTGCGGGTCTCCATTTAATGCCACTTTGGTCAGGTAACCTTCTCTGGGGTCACAGCTCCTCATCCAAGCCCTGCATGCCATTCTCCATAGCGGTCATCACACTTGTAGCTGCTTGATTCTTACCAGAAGCTCCATGGGCATAGTTCCAGAAGTAAAATAGTTCTATGAGGATTATAACAGAAAGTGTAGCAGTCCCTTGACCTTTTTGGGGCATTACTCTAAAGCAGTCATTTTCAAATCCTTTGGTTCATTCTTCTGGTATTATTTTTAATTTTTTTTTTTTTTTTTTTTTTTTTTTTTTTTTTTGAGACAGAGTCTTGCTCTGTCACCCAGGCTGGAGTGTAGTGGCGTGATCTCAGCTCACTGCAACCTCCGCCTCCCAGGTTCAAGCGATTCTCGTACCTCAGCCTCCCGAGTAGCTGGGATTACAGGTGTGCACCGCCACACCTGGCTAATTTTTGTATTTTTAGTAGAGACAGGGTTTCACCATGTTGGCCAGGCTGGTCTCGAACTCCTGACTTCAGGTGATCTGCCCACCTCGGCCTCCCAAAGTGCTGGGATTACAGGTGTGGGCTACCACGCCCGGCCCTATTTTTAATATTTCTAAATAACATGTCTGCACTGCTGTTTTGTTAATTTTCAGTTCTGGATATCTCTTCTTACTGTAGAAGATCAAGATTTAGCATAATGTTTTCATAACTTGTGGTTAGACTAATATACATTCAGTGTTTACTCTGTTACAATTCCGTGACTTCACTCACAGCTGAGCCATGTGGTATTCTATATTACAATTTCCTTCTCAGACATTTTTCTATTTTCCCTGAAGTTATGTCTTATTTTTTCACATGTTTTAGTTTCCTCTATCATCACTCATCACTGATTCATCCTTAAAATCTCCAGAAATACATTCTCTCAATACATTAAAATATACCAGGGTACTTTATGGATGAGGACGTTGCTTCTGGAATCCTCTGTGGTTCTCTCCCCTGGCCCCTCCCCGGGCTCCCTCTTGAGCAGCATCCCGGGACCCCAGGGTCTCTCCTTGGATTCTCTCTGCCTGGACGTCATGGCGGCCTCCTCCGTGGTTTCTGCCCTCGCGGTGGCGAAGCTCCTCTGTCAGTAGCTCGCTGGGGGAGTGCGGAGGAGACCCAGACAGAAGCTCACGTGCATAGCAATGTCTTTGTTCTTTTCTCACATTTGATTGTAGCTAATAAGGAATCTTGATATGGAAATCTTTCCTGCCTCCGAATTTTGAAGGAATTGTCTTCTCCTGTCTGGAGTGCTGTGGATGAGTCTGATGCAGTTCTGATCCTGATCCTTTTTTGAGGCCTGTTTTTTTTTTGAGTCTGCTTTCTGTCTCCGAGATTCTCACAGTAATGGGACTCGGTGTTCTGGGTACTTGCTGGGCCCTCTCAAACCAGAAGCTCATGTCCTTTGCTTCTGGGAGATGTTTTGGACTATTTTCTTTAAAATTTTTACTTCCCATTTTCCATGTTTTCTTTCTAGAATGCTAGTTTTTCAGATGTCACACCACCACCTAGACCGGTCCCTTGATTTTCTTATTTTCTGTCTCCTGATATATGTTTTTCTGTGAGATTACAGTCACGTGCCATATAGCAGTGTTTCAGTCAACAACAAACTACAGTGGTCCCATAAAGTTATAATGGAGTTGAAAAATTTCTACCACTTTGTGACATCTTGATAACTCTGACCCTATGTAGGCCTAGGCTAATATGTGTGTTTGTGTCTTCGTTTTTAACAAAAAAGTTAAAAAAAAAATTTGAGGCTGGGTGCGGTGGCTCAAGCCTGTAATCCCAGCACTTTGGGAGGCCGAGACGGGAGGATCACGAGGTCAGGAGATCGAGACCAGCCTGGACAACATAGTGTTTTAAGCTAAATGTTATGCAAAAGAGTCAAAAAGTTAAAAAATTTAAAAGTTTAGAGAGTAAAAAAGCTATAGTAAGCTAACTTTATTATTGAAGAAAATACATTTTTACAAATTTAGTGTAAGTATAGACTGTTTATGAAGTCTACAGTGGTGTATAGTCATGTCCTACGCCCTCACACTCACACATCACTCACTCACTGACTCACCCAGAGCAACTTCTAGGCCTGCAAGCTCCATTCATGGTGAGTGCTCTCCACATGCACCATTTTTAACCTTTATACATATTTTTACTGTACCTTTGCTGTGTTTGGATGCACAGATCCTTACCATTGTGTTACAGTTACCTGCAGTATTCAGAACAGTAACATGCTGTGCAGCTGTGCAGTCTAATCAGCCGTACCGTGTAGCTTTGATGTGTGGTGGGCTGTACCAGCTAAGCACGTGTACATACGCTGTGATGTTAGCAAGACGACCAAATCACCTAACGGCACATTTCTTAACAATCGCCTGTTGTTAAGCAACTCCAGACTGTATCTCAGCTTTCTCTTCCAGCCTTTCAGTGGACGTTCACATTTCTACTCTAAAAGCCCAAGAGCTCTTTCTGTACTCAAAGTGTCCCTTCATAGCTTCCTGTCATGTTTTGTTAATGTAACATTTTGTCTTCTATTTCTGAAGATATCCTTGTAGGTCAATGCCTTTGTATGCATTGACCCTTCTTTGAGGTGCGGGGAGGTGGTAAAAGGTGACACTTCACTTCCTGCATTTTGCCTGAGGATATTGCAGTTGCTTTTCAAGGCAAGTGTTTCCCACCGCACTGTCAGCTCGATGCCAGTCAGCACATGCTGGGTACCCATGTGTTATTGAAATAAGAACTTTATTCTGACCATGATGATACGTCACAGGAAGGTTTTAGCAGAGGAGGTGCAGGATTGATGTAGAGGCCACTGGTGGCAGAGCAAGGTGAACTGGGAGAGGCAGTGCTGAGGGCTGAGGCAGGTGAGAACTGGGAGAACCTTGGGCCAATACGTGTGAACAATTAGTATTCCTCAGTTTTTCTTTCATAAAATGGGATATCATTCTTGCTTGCCTTATTGAATTATTGGGAAATGAAATAAGGTATGGGAAATTCTTTGTAAATAAAAAACAAATGTATTGAAAACGTAAGGTATTATTCCCACTGACTTCTGTGCCCTCGTAGGAAAACAGCGTCCTCTGTACAGTCTGCCATTTGTATCTGTGGGTTTGGCATTCACAGATTCAACCAGCCACAAATCAAAATTTTAACAAAGGAGTAAAAAATAACAATAGGACAATCAAAATAATACAAATTAAAAACAATATAGTATAACAGCTATTTACATAGCACTTGCATTAGGAATTATTGGTAATCGAGATGATTGGCAGTATACAGGAGGATATGCATGGGTTGTATGCAAATATTCCACCATCTTCTGTCAGGGACTTGAGCATCCTTGAGACGTCTTGGAACACTTTCCTTGTGGATACCAAGGGACAGCTTCTATTATGAAATAAAGTATGTGATCTATATGTAGTTCTTTAATAATTGTTTGCAAATGGTGTCATTAAAATTATAGGTGGGTGCCATATGCTAAAAGACATTCTAACTGCTGTCTGTGCTGTCTGCTGTCTTCCTTTAGCACAGAAGTTGGGCCTCATTGGGCCTCCACCACCTCAGCTGTCATCTGATGAATGGGAGAAGGTGAAACAGCGCTCCCTCCTGCAAGGGGACTCGGTGCAGCCGTGCCCCATCTGTAAAGAAGAATTCGAGCTTCGACCTCAGGTGTTTAGCGTATGAGGGTGAGCTAGAGAAATCCTGGGCTGTTTCCTAGGGATGAGGCCCAGAGCTGGAGCCTAAGATTCCAGGCTTCCTTTTCCCAGTTTCATCCTCTTGTGTGAGCCTCACACACTTCCATTTTCTTTTCCATTAATTAAAGTGTGTGAAGAGCTAAACACCCTCATTAAATAGTTTTGTTTGTTTACTGACTGGTATTCTCAAGTACTAACGTTTGTACAAAAGGAATGTTTCTGTTCAACAGGCCCCATGTGGCTGTGCAGACAACTGGGGGCTTCCCAGGAGCAGCTGTGTCCCAGTGCGGGAAGGATGAAAGCAGAGGAACTCTTACGTTGTTTTGTGATTTGAGTCAGAAAAGAAAAGAAAAAAAAAAAAACTGTGCTTGAATGTCTCCAAAGAATTTATGAGAAAATCTTTAAGAAAAGTAAAATCTTTTAATGATTTCTATTCATGAAACTTTACCATAGTAAGATTGATGATACTACTCTGGGTTAACAGATAATACACATACACACACACACACACACACACACACACAGAGAGAGAGAGAGAGAGAGAATGCATGTAGGGTTTTTTTCTATACATATTTTGTCTGCCTAACTAAAAAAACAGTCTCTTGAAGTTGGGGACACTTAGATTTATCAGAAGTGTGTGTGTGTGTGTGTGTGTGTGCGCGTGCGCGCGTGTGCACGATTGCCCTGTAATGATTTCCCACGGAGTGTGGCATGACGCTTCCTGCATAGCAGGCCCTCAGAGATTTGCTGAGAAAATACAGCAAATACAATTAAAATCAGCCTTGGAGTTCGTAGCCTGGGAACCCAGGCTTATTACAGTCTGGGCAAATGAACTCTGAGTCTTCGCTGAATTTGAGTAAGTTTCATCTGCAGAAAGCTCACAACAGTTACACTTCTCTTCACTAATTTGAATTCATAAGTTACTTAGACATACTTATTCCATTTCTCTATCAGGACCTAATCTTACGGATGTGAAAGTTGGGTATTTTGGACAGATTTTAGCCCTAAAACCACAAATTGTCTAGGATAATTTAGTACTTTAGGTAGCAAAACTGTGAATAAAATCAGAGGGTGTCTTTCTGGCTAAGCAACCTCTTTCTTATACTAAAATATCGAGCCTGGAGTGTCTGTATGAAGAAAGAAAAGTGAAAGTTAGTATCTTATGGGCATCAGGGTGTACCCTGCCCAACATTTCTTTCTGTTTTTTATAAATTTCTCCCTAAATTCTATTATTTTTATTTGGTTTTGATATAGAACCTATCCTGTATATTTGGCACTTCTAATGATCGTTTCCGTGTTCAGATTTTTCCTTAGTTATAAACAATAGTTGGCATTTTTACAACATTTAATGATTTCAGAAGGCCTTCAATTAATTTCATATAGTAGGCATTCTGCCCATTTAGCAGATGAGGAAATAAAAAATAATTCAAATGGTTCATAGTAGGCCAGCTTAGAAAGTATGGAGTCCTGCTGGAATCCAGTCCTACCTTCTAGGCCATTTTTAGTATGTTTTCCACCACTTACTCCTTGATTTTTGTTACATCAGAGAATGTTTGCCAATAAGAAATATTTGTGGACATTTAAAAAGATAACACTTTAATATACTGGAGTCTAATGTTGCTCAATATAGATAGAATGTATGTTAAGGAAACACTGAAAAGTATTCTATAAAGGATGAATGAAGTATAGAAAAGATTGCTATTCAACGGTAGTAATAAAAAAGGACCCATATTACTGAGTTTATTCAATTCAGACTTACTCTTGGCAATAAGTTTCAAGAAAAGGTTTTACAACTTTCTGAGTTCTACTTATTTCTGTATTTCTTCCATTTAAGAAGAAAAGCACACATTGAGTGAAGGCAGGTGGGATTCACTTTAAAAACTGTTAAGTTTTCCCCACAGCAGGCACCCTGGGCCGCCTGAGACTGAAACCTCACCCGGGAGGGGCCCAGACTGCAGTCACCCGAGTCAGACTCTTGACAGGAAGGGAAACCCTCCGCCTGCCCCCACTGCTCTGCTCCGTCTCACAAGTTCCCCCACTTTCCTCCCCATTGCTGGAAGCAGCCCCGCCCCAAGGGAAGCCTGGGCTTCGTGTGGCAGCCCGCAGGGCCTGGCGCTGGTGGGCTGGTGGCTCTGTCCCTTCTACTGAGTACCCACTGCCTTCTTCATTTGGTCTAAGCTTCAGTCTTTTGTCACAGCCCAGAATATCACTGTTTAGTGGGGAATTTGGGTCACAGAAAGGTGAAGTTTTCTTGTGAGCACACTCCCTGCATTAAAAAAAAAAAAAAAAAAAATGACTCCTATGTCTCCATGATGTGTTGCTATTTAAATTTAAGACTATCAGAATTATATCTCAGTAGGGCTATGATTTCACAAAAACTGGGGGGCATAACTGAGCTGTACAAAGACCTAAATGGTATTTACTTAGCGTTTCCCTGGCCCCACTGGACGGGCCCCCCTCCTTACCCCTCCAGTTTGCAGTCTTTGCCTGCATCTAAGGGAAACACTCATTTTGTCATTGTTTCGCTCTTAAGTATACACTCATTTTGATAATTACATATCAAACTTCATGTGTTTATTTGATATTTCAGATCATTAATTTTTCTTGTTTAGAGTATATACTTGTGCTGTGCTAAACAAACAATAAATAGTATAAACATCAAAGTTATAAATTTGCCTTTTTAATTTTTAAAGAAATAATACAGCTTACCTTCTAAGCATTCAGGAGTTTAACTGTTGCATTCATGCTGCTTCTCTTTTGTAAACTTCAATGTCGTTCTGTTTCCTCATGAACAGGTGCTGCTTTCATGCTCCCATGTGTTCCACAGAGTAAGTCCGCCCCTCACGCCTGTTCAGGTGCCCCACACATCGCTCTTACAGTGCAGAGAAACTATAGTCATTTTCAAGGCTCCTGAGAAGAGCCATTTATTTTATTCATCACCACCATCTATAGTTAAAGAAACATGACTGTAGGCTACAGTACAATTCATCCTATTTTGAAAATCATGAGTTTTGTGACAAAAGAACCACAAATGTTTATGTAACAGATTGTTGTCAGTAATGCGTGTCAGTGACAGCTAAATTCACATGATCGATCTGCATGTGGTCCCATAGACACGCATGACTCACCTTTGTGCTAGTGGATTTCAGAAGTTTTTGATGTCTTTGCATGTATATTCTTGTAAGAAATCGCTTTTGGAACAGGTTTCATGAGGAAGGTGGTAGCACCTGATGAAACTTCCTCACTTGATAACCTAAATTGGGCTAAGTTTCATAGTTACGGGAGAAAAGAACACTGTAATTAGAACACTAACATTGGAAGTAAAGACGTTGTTTATAAGTAATTGTAAAATTTTAAGTGAAATGTTTTTCTTCAGGCATGTCTTCAGGCTTTTGAAAAGTTCACAAACAAGAAAACGTGTCCTCTCTGTAGAAAGAACCAGTATCAAACCCGAGTGATACACGATGGGGCTCGCCTGTTCAGAATAAAGTGTGTGACCAGGTGAGGACGCCAGGCCCATTTGGCGCTAAGCAGACACTTACAGGTCAGGCTGTGACAACTAACTTGTTTTTTTTGTTTTTTTTCTTTTTTTTTTTTTGAGACAGAGTCTCGCTCTGTCGCCCAGGCTGGAGTGCAGTGGCCGGATCTCAGCTCACTGCAAGCTCCGCCTCCCGGGTTTACGCCATTCTCCTGCCTCAGCCTCCCGAGTAGCTGGGACTACAGGCGCCCGCCACCTCCCCCGGCTAGTTTTTTGTTTTTTTTAGTAGAGACGGGGTTTCACTGTGTTAGACAGGATGGTCTCGATCTCCTGACCTTGTGATCCGCCCATCTCGGCCTCCCAAAGTGCTGGGATTACAGGCTTGAGCCACCGTGCCCAGCCTAACTTGTTTTTTAAATAGTGGGATTTTATCTCTCTTCTTGGCCACTATAATTTCCCCAGGGCCTTATATAGCACAGGGCTTATAACAGCTACTAAAGTATAGTAGTTGGTTCAGAGTCATCATAAATTAGTCATTTTCAAATATCTGTGTTTTAGAATCCAAGCCTACTGGAGAGGATACGTTGTCAGAAAGTGGTACAGAAACCTGAGGGAAACAGTACCTCCCACAGACGCCAAGTTAAGAAAAAAATTCTTTGAAAAAAAGGTAGGTAGAGATCATGAATTCTCCAGATATGGTCTCTGTGTGGGTGATTCACTTGGGGTCAGGAAGGCTAACAGAGGTGATAAAACTTTGAGACTTACTTCACTTTGAGGGCCTTTTATAAATGGTTGAGACGCTGCTAAAAATCCTATTTAACTTAAATTGACTTTCCAACCCAGACGGTAAAATACTTTTAGACTTTCTTTTCTAGTTAAATCATAAAATTAGGTTAAATCAGAGCAACTTCTGTTTGGCCATTTTGTGCTAATTGTTTAAATAAACTTACCTCTTCAGACACAAGACTGGAAACCAGCTTAATTTTTCCCATCTCCCGGGCTATACGTAAATGAAGACATCTGCTGCACATCTCATAGTAATGAAAACAGAAGCCACCTGTAAAAGTAAAGCCCCCACATGCTACCATTGTATTGAGTACCTCGTGGGGTCATCACAGTGAGCCTCAGAGCTAACTTCCACGTCTGCCCTTCCTCTTAACCACTACTTATGTTTCAGTTTTACTTTTGGGGGACTTATTTAACAATTCCCATTCCTTGTCCCCATACGAAAAGGACCGTCCTGCCCCATCAGCCCGTGGCTTCAGGCGAACAGCAGCAGCCCCGAGGCTGTCATATGAAAGCCTGAGAAGAGCTGTAGCATTTATAATGGCACAGCACACAGTGGGTGCTGGAAATTCTGTATTTATTATCAGTATTAACTCATTTCCTAGAATATGGAGATGAGTTACTGTGTGTTTGGCCAGTCTGTTCCTTCCTGAGAGCAGTGTCTCTCATCTTCAGAGATCGTTCATCTCGGGTGTTCCTTCTCAATTTGGTAAAGAACTGCCATGCACAATTGCTTCATCCTTCCTTTACATTCTTTCCAGTTTTTTATCTTCACTCGCTGACAGTCAGTCTTGTTCTCTAGGCTACTCTTAGTAATTTCTAATATGTCATAGTAGGTTGTCTCTTAGAAGTGATCTTTTGTCACCTCTTACAAAATTTTAATTATAGATTTGATAGTCATTTTACCTTGTATATATAAATATTTTTCACGTGCACACATCATTTTATAAGAACTCTCGAAGATAAAGGCCCACTGAAAGTGTTGGTGGTCTCAGCCCATTGCACTGGACGAGAACTGGCCCAGGTTGCTGGAAACAAGTGAAGCAACCATTACAATGTGCCTTGTGTTATCTTGTAAAGTAGCCAGTGAAAGTTAAGTTTCAGCGTTCAGTGCTCAGGTGTTCAGATACTGCAGCCTTCAGCTTCATGGAAAAAGGAAACGAAAAATAAAAAGCAAGTGACCAAGAGCAATCAGGGCAGGGAGACCTAATCAAACAGGTTCCTCAGTTTCTAATTCAGTCTCTCCCACAGAGAGATGGAACTTTACAAAGCCGATCCATAGCTCTGTCCCACCGGACGTTGGGTCCGCGGCCCTGTGGCCATCCTACCTCCCCACAAATCCTGTTTTTTTTAATCCCTGGTTCATCCTGTCTGCTGCCCCCTCATCCTGAGTCCTCGTCGCTCTGCACACCCTGCTGTGATCCCCACGTCTGCTCTTCTGAGCACACTCATGCCCACACCACCCCCCGCCAGAATGTCCTGTCTGTTCCTGCTGGTTCCCTCTGCCTTGCTTAAAATGTGCCAGTTTTTCAAAGCCTAGTTGAAGTTTTCTTCCAATTTCTTTGGTCTTCTCTAAACCTCTATTGTGTGTTTAAACAATACCATCTAAGAGAGCAAGAAGAACAGAAGCATGACTGATATTCTAGCTTGTATATTACAAATGCGGTCTTTCCTTTGGGGCTTTTAAGATGATCTCAGAAGATCTCAATTATCTAGGAAGAAACTAAGGAAAACTGAGTTTTTATTTTTTGCGGGGGTGGTAGGGAGGTATGTGTTAAGAACAAACTGTGTAAGTTGTTTTTTATTTTTATACATTTTTATACAGGGTTTTGTTATATTGCCCAGGCTGGCCTGAAATTCCTGGGCTCAGGTGAACCTCCCACCTCAGCCTCCCAGTTAGCTGGGATGACAGGCAAGAGCCACAGGCTAGGGCAGTGGCTTTCAGACTTTTCCTCAGCCACAATAAGAAATACCTTCTAAACAATGTTAACAGAAAAACCAAACTCTGTAATGTATTTTAAAGAAGTTGATTCTGAGCTGATATGGGTGACTGCAGGCCAGGAAACCAACCCACTCTCAAGGAGTCCTGAGAAAGTGCACCTGGGCGCTCGGATTACGGTTTGGTTTTATACTTTTTAAGCGGGGGGGGGGGAGTTACAGGCAAAGACATCAGTCAGTACATGGAAGTTACACATTGGTTTGGCCAGAAAGGCGTGAAACTTGAAGTGGGGGCTTACAGATTCTAGGTGGATTCAGAGATTCTTTATTTGCAGTTGGTTGAAGGAGTAGGGCTCTAAGTGCTGGAGTCAGCAGGAGGGAATTCTAAGTTGAGGATGCTGTGTAGCAAGACTGATGGCCTGCGGCGTGACTGTCTCTTGCCGGGTATGGCCTTAGGTCTTGTTTGTAATTTGGTTTCTTACTGCCTCAGACGGTGTGGTCAGCCTTACCACCTCTTTTAACAGGAATAGTGGTCACTTGAGCTTAAACTCCGGCAAGGAGTGGGCATAATGAGGGGCGTCTCACCTTTCTTCCCATTGTGGCTGGAAATTCCATTGTTAAGGTTTTCCTAGGGCCTCCTTGGCCAAGAGGGGGTTCGTTCTGTTGCTGGGGCCTTAGGATTTTTTTTTTTTTTCTGAGACGGAGTCTCGCTCAGCCGCCCAGGCTGGAGTGCAGTGGCGCGATCTTCTCTCACTGCAACCATCGTCTCCCGGGTTCAAGCGATTCTCCCGTCTCAACCTCTTGAGTAGCTGGGATTACAGGCACCTGCCACCATGCCCAGCTAATTTTTATATTTTTTAGTAGAGACAGGCTTTCCCCATGTTGGCCAGGCAGGTCTTGAACTCCCAATCTCAGGTGATCTGCCCACCTTGGCCTCCCAAAGTGCTGGGATTACAGGTGTGAGCCACCATGGCCCGGCCAGGATTTTATTTTTAGCTCATAGCAATGACCCACCACATGTATACATTTAACAGAAACATAACTTTCACAAAGCAAAATCTACTGTTACCACAAGCACCACACTGTGGTCATTTTTATTCCATTTCGTTTCCAAAGTGCTGGGCATACTACATTAATGTTATGAGTCAATGATGGGTTGTAGATATCAGCATGTCTGCATTATCAGTAACTGCCACCTTAAACGTAATACAAGTGACTGTGTTATCCCCTGAACTGTAATCTTACCTCATTCAAGTTTCAAGTGTACAGGTGGGGAGCGACAGGAGATGTATACATACACACACACACACACACACACACACACATCATAGTGAGTTATACTCATCATTTGTTACATGAATAGGCATCCTATCATGTAACTCTTGCTCAGTTATCCCATTTGGCCATAAACACTTGAAATCTGTAAACTCAAATCTCATGTTAAATAAATGAAGATTGAACTGACTGTCAGACAGTGTATCAGCAGTGGGTAGTAGTTGCCTATATGGGTCCATGCCCTGTGTGCGTATATACCTATATGAGTAGAACTCAAAGGCTGTCCTTTATAATAAAGACCACTTCATCATTTACCAAATGACCTCACAATTTGATGCTTTTTTTCTACCTTTCCAACTGAATAAACTCATTCTGTGAGTGAAGGGAATCCTCTCGGAAATGTTAATCTACAATTTTAGGATGCCCTGCATGTTTACTGGAATCTGAAAGATTATTGAACTAGGTTATTGAATGTCACATTACCCAGGTGTGATGGTTAATTTATGTGTCAACTTGACTGAGCTAAGGGATGCTCAGGTTATCTGGTTAAACATTATTTCTGGGTGTGTCTGTGAGGTATTTCCAGATGAGCGGAGCGTTTGCATCAGTGGACTCAGTAAAGTGAATTGCGTGTGCACACGGGCACGGTCTCACCCTCTTGCGTGGGCTTTCTCTCTCTCTGCCTCTGCCTGACTGCTTGAACTGGGACAGTGGTTTTCTGTAGATACACAGAGAGGGGTACCCATATAAATAGAAATCATTTTAAAATTACAAAATTGCTGGATACAACTTTATGCAATTAGAACTGCAAATATAATTGAAATTACTTCCTGTAAAAATAGCAAACATGGAAAGAAATTTAAAGTATGAAATGACTGAAAAAAATTATATTAGCATCTCAGTTTTTACTGAAAAGATATTTAATAAAATTTAACAGCCATTCTTAGTAACGACAGACATTAGAACTGGAATGAAATTTCCTTGTCACAGTAAAAACTATGTGTCAAATACTAAAAACACCTTGTTTTAGAGAGTAAAATCGTAAAGAAAACTAGGTTCGTTTGTCATCACACTTGAACCAATCCTTGCCAATAATACATGAAAACAAAATATATGTGTGTGCATGTATGTGTACATATGTTATGTATATTATATAAATCCATACATGTATATTACAATTTTATATTATATTTATATTAAAATAAGCTAAACAAGGAATGTACCACTGATAAAAAAAATTTTTTTTTCTGATGGAATAAAAGGCTTGAATAACATGATAGACATTTTACACTGGAATGAGTAAAAATGTCCACTTAGCTTATATAAATTTAATGTAGTTTCTAACTCCCAAAGGAGTAGTATAGGCTGTGCATTTGGGATTTTACAGGTTAACTCTGAAGTTTATCTAAGGAGGTATGAAGAGCTAATAATTTTTTTAAAAGACAGATTGATGAGCTAGAACAGCCTTGTTAGATATCAAAATATATAAATTTGGCAACTAAGATTCTTGGGGAATAATAGACAAACAGTGAAACAGTATTAAGTCACACATCTCAGCATACAGGACATTTTAGTGTAGTAAAGAAGGTATTTCAGACCATTGGAGAAAAAAATTATTTGAGAAAAATCAGTTGGGAAATTGAGTTCATTCATGTGAAGAGGGATTAAAGAACACTGCTTTATACCTTACTGCCAAAAACATTCCACATGGATTACATTCTTAAATACATTTTAATGGATACATGGAATTAATAGAGTCAAATAGCTTCGTGGGTGCCTGCTCTCTGCCTGTGCTTTGTTAGTCAGGGGAGACATGGAGGGAACAGACAAAACACCACGATCCTAACAGAACGTGTGCAGTTCAGAGAGCTGGGAGGGAGCCTGGACCTGATTCAGCTCTGACGCAAACGGTATGTTGCGTGATTGCCACAGTGGCTTTTACAACGTTCTGAAGGCAAGGCTATAGAAAAACATTGCAAGGGCCGGTCGCGGCGGCTCCTCACGCCTGTAATCCCAGCACTTTGGGAGGCTGAGGCAGGCAGATCACCTGAGGTTGGGAGTTTAAGACCAGCCCGACCAACATGGAGAAACCCCTTCTCTACTAGAAATACAGTATTAGCCGGGTGTGGTGGTGCACGCCTGTAATCCCAGCTACTCAGGAGGCTGAGGCAGGAGAATCGCTTGCACCCGGGAGGCAGAGGTTGCGGTGAGCCAAGATCGCACCATTGCATTCCAGCCTGGGCGACAAGAGTGAAACTCCATCAAAAAAAAAAGAAAAACATTGCAGGAACACGCTAGGTGGTAATTTGTCCTGGTTGACAAGGCAAAATGATCATCTTGATTTACATGTTTAGTACAAGTGGAGAATTTCCTCGTATATATTATATATTCATGTTTAGGGGTTGCATCCATTTTATTGTTCTTTTTTAAAGATGTAATCATATGAGTAGAATATTTGACAGCTCAAAACTGGAAGAGCTTAATAATAAATGTGAGACAAATAATACACAGACCCTATCGTAAAGAAATTCATCATCATCCGCAGAACAGTCTTTTTATCTAGAATAATAGTATACTATTATCAAATTTATCCAGTTTAATCTGTGTAACATGTGAAAATGTCATTTTTCCAATGATAGAAACATAATTTTATTATTTTCACCAAGAAACAAACATGTTTCAGTAAAAAAAAAAAAAAAAAAAAACTGCTTTCAAGTACCTATAAAAATTTTAACATAAGATTATAAGTAAAATGAGGCTTTTTAAGCTTCTAGAAATCACAGATTAAGATATTTAAAATAAAAATATAACTGTTGGTCTCAGGTTCTCAACTCAGTCTTCATTTTCTCATTATATGTGTTCCTTTATGTTTCCAAAAGTTCTTCAGAACTAAAAATGTGAACTGAATAAAGACCAGCTTCAGGGCTTTTCAGTCTTCTGGACGCTGCTGAACTACTAGAGAAACCTGGGGCTTCAACGGAGTCAGTGCCAGCTTTTTAAACTCACCCCACCAAGTTAGAGGGAAAACAAAACACCACGCTCCATCAGAATCATTTCAGAAAAGAAAGATCATTTGAACACCAGAAAAGAAAAAAATACCTGACCGCACACTAAAGGATATTCCTTTCACACTGCAGACGTTTGGCCTTATAAATGTTTCACTCCCTTGAATTTATTCTTTCTTGGCTGGCAGATAGGTGAAAACTTGTTTGCTATCCTTGGGAACCATTGGTTTCGATCGAAGATAAGTTGCCTTTAGGGAAAGAGAAGTCTAATCAATAGAGAGCAGGACAAGGAGGGATAATAGTTTGATATTTTTAGACATAGCTGATTAGGAAGTGTTTGTTTCCCTTCTATGTTTTAGGATCTCACCAAGAGGGATATGTTTGTAATACTCAGGATGAGATTAGCCCAAGCCTTTCTGTTTTTATAAATTAATCTATTTTGCTTGTCGAACTTTGCTCCTACATTTTTCCTCCTCTACTACAGAGAGAGGTAGTGAAGTGTTTTCTTCAGTTTTCATGCACCTTTTGGGTGTTGACGAGTGAAACACAGGGACCCTCTTTCTGTAAGAGGAACGCTTACATACACTGCAGGTTTCTTTTCACAACTCTAAGATGTCATTGACACATTCCTAACAAAACCCAGCCACAGCAGTGATGTTGTGCTACAATGTAGGTCCTTTCAGCTATGTTGAAGTCTTGTGGTAAGAACTGAAAAGGTCAGATGTTGAGTTTTGTACCCCTAGGTAAGTGTCAGAGAATAAAAATTCACTCAGAAATGCCTTTGTCAGAGAGGGTGTTTGAGTTGTCTGGGGATGATACAGTAGTCCTCGTACACTTACTCATTCAGGTTTTGAGGAACGCAGATCAAAGAGGCCTGGAAAGGTCACTCGAGCTGTTCTGCTAATACCTAGCACCGTGTGTACAGAAAGTCCACAGTGTTGCCCAGAATGCAGCGGCCGGGCCTGACTGCCTTTGATCCTTATCTGGAAACTCTGCTAGCATATGTCATATGATTGAGGTAGGGGCTTTTATTGCTGCAATTAAAACTTCTCAAGTGCATTATATTATCTCCACCCCAGCTAAAAGTCCCGGACATTGTTTAGAAAGTGGGGTGAGTGATTTGTCAGATGCTGGGGCAGCTTTTGGGGCTGCTGGCTCCCACACCCTCCAGCACAAGATTTCTCTGACTTTTTTCATTTACATCTCACCAAACAGCATAATGGTCTTAAAGTTTGCTTAGTCCTTTGACTTCCTTTATCACATAGAGATGGCAAACATTCTGTTGCTAACTTGAAGTGGCTCCAAGCAGCAGGACTGGAAGGATATTAAACCAGTAAAAGCTTATCAACTGATTCATTGATATGCTGTAAATTCCAGGCTTTTCATTTTGCTTTTGAGGGCGGCCATAAGTCAACACATTAGTAAGCAATTTGCTGACATCAAGATGGATCACTTAAAAAGCCCTCCTGGGTAGACAGAGTTCACCTGGGTGCTTTTGTTAGTATATTTTTAAAAAATGTTTAGCCAGCTTGTTACTTGTAAATGACCAGTAGTTGTTTTACATATCAATAACTCAAACTCTTAGTTTATCAAGTATCTGAAATGTGAGGCTTAAAAGGAAAAATACATTAAGACATTCATTCTTTGTAAAATTGAAAATGTTCAGGTATTTTGTCTGTTTCTGTAGAATTCATAATGTCAACCATTTGTTTAAAACCTAGAAATCAGTTGTCATTTGTTTTTGACAGTTCTTGCCCTTTCAGTCACCAAGGTCATCTAACGCACATGAAAAGTGAGGGAGTAAATAAAGGAATAAAGAACGTTGCACACAGAAGATTTTGACAATTAAAAATATTTAATAGTAGCTAACCACAGAATATTACTTTGAATTAACTACAGCAGTTAATAAATGTTGACTTTTACAAGTACCACCCTTGCTAACTTTTGAATACTCAAAGCTATGAGAATATTCATCCCAGTTCACTTTTTAAATTTGTCATAAATGCCTATGAAAGGACTTTCAGTATATTTATTAATAAGCTAATGTCAATGTTATGATTATAAGCTAAAGTTGATGTTTTACTGAATTTTGACACTGGAAGTAACTTGAAAATCATTTTAGGTAGGCAGTGTTTTTTCTCAGTTCCCCCAAAAAGGATTTCTGCTGCACTCCTTTGGAATATGTACATTTGAGGCATATATTTGCTCTCATTTCTCATCTGTTGCAAACCTAAAGTCAAAATTTCTTGAATGCTAAGGGCCTTACAAAGATGAATTGGTGCTTCCCTGAATCTAAGGCGCTCATTCAAGGAGATAAGCAATGCACACAGGAAAAAGCTAACACTGGGCAGCTGACGTGTGTGGAATGAAAGGAGCAGCAGTGCCCTGTGAGAGCTCAGAGGAGAGAGGTCACCTCCAGCCCAGGTACCTGGACACATGGATCCCACTGGCCATTCATGTGCAGTCAAGGAAACAGAAATATCTAACAGTGATTTCACTGAACTGAGTCAACAAGTTTGGCCAGACCATAAGATTCACACAGGAAAGGAAGGAACAAGAAGGAAGGAGGGTGGCCCGTGGGGAGTGACCTGGGAGAACGTTCCCAGAGGACAGAGGCTGTCGAGGGAGGTGGGTGGGGCTGGGCTCCAGTGACTTGCCCTTGTGGGTCTTGCCCCCTGCATTGTCCCTCTGCCTGTGTCCTCACTCCTTCCTTCCCAGGCCCCTGTCCCACTGGCTGCGTTGGCCCAGGGCTGACTTCCCAAGAAGCCCGGCGATTCCTCCCTCCCTCCCTCCCTCCCTCCTCCGTGTCTCCCGAGTGCCACAGCAGCACGCATTCCATCGCATTCCATCGTCAGCGGGGCTTTTCTTGCTACACGGGAGCTCTTTGTTAAAGGAAGCAGTGTTTGTCCTCCAGACCGTCGGGCTAGCACAGTGCCTGTTCCATGGCAGCTCAGCACTTCCCCAACTCTTTTCACCCCAGCCCCTTTAGAAATTGTTGTCATTCACCGTGCGGATCCTGTAAGTGGTAAATTTAAGTTAAAAATATTTACTTTAGATTGATTAAAATGCATATTAATAGTCTTTAACCACCATTACATATAAAGGGAATTGTTTTTCTCATTGAGGAAATGCTTTAATTCCTCTTAAGAAAAAAAAAGTATTGTTAATAAGTGTAAAAATGGTATTTGGTTACGTAGGGTGAGTGGATATTAAAATATAAATTAGACTTAACTGTATTAAAAGTCTGTGTGACCTGCTTTCATGGACCGGCACTTGGAGTTGTGTACTTTGCGAGCCTTCATTGTAAAGGGGGTGCTGACCAGCACCTCTGGGGCCCAGGTGTGAGCACCCAGCCCGCGCGCCTGTCCAGGTGCATGTGGAGGCCTCTCGGGTGGTTCCCGGCTGCTGCGGGGCACCCTTCCTGCAGGGGGCTGCGGAGAGACAGTAAATAAAATACTTTGTTAAAATGTTCAAGAAGTAATAAGTGCCAGGAAGAAAAATACAAAGAGAGGAAGGGGAGAGAGAGTGAAGTGGGGGTGAGATGTTTGAAATAAGGTGGAAATGTCTGAGGAGATGCACCCTGAACCCAAATGGAGGGACCGTGCTGTTCCCTGGAACCTCTGTCCAGGCAGAGGGCAGCGCGGCTTGGCCTCTGGGAGGGGCAGGCTGGCAGAGTGTGAGCCACTGGGCACAGGTGACCCTTTCAGGACCCAGACCCCTGTGAGGCCCTGAGCTGGGCGCTGAGCGGACAGGTCATTTTCAAGAGGGCGACCCGCAGCCACATGAAAACTGGAAACTGCCCTCAGAGCCCCGGGGGTGCGAGGTCAGCAGCTGGGACCCAGACCAAAAAGGGTGAAGAGGGCAGGGCTGGGGACTCCCAGGGAGAAAGGGCCATGACTCGGCCCCTCCAGTACAGGGGCTTCCTGGGAGCCTCCGCAGGGCGTGCCCATGGAGGGGAGGCCCAGAATAACCACATGAGACGCACAGCTGGGCTGTAGCATGTGGGGCTGGGGAGCTGTGTTCCAGGTGACAGGAAGACAGGCAGGCATGGCCTAGTGCCATGAAAATGAAAACACAGATCCCTGTTTAAAAGAGAAAACATGGGGAAAGTGCCATTCACGTACTAAAAGTATAAAGCTCTATGTACTTCCGTGGCCTCTCTCTCCAGTGGTCATGTAGTGTTTTTTATTTGCTATTTAATGTTATTCTAAGAAAAAATTAAATTATAAATTTTATGACTTTCACAGTGCATCTTTACACCAGAATGTCAGTTTTAAGTGCAAATATAAGAGAATTTAATTCATACGTGGAATCACCAAAAAGTACACAGTTGGTATTTCCCACCCCCTAGTGCACACACATTTCCTTCTTTCCGGAAGAGCTGGATGCTAAGCACGGCTGGCTCTACTGTTTTGACTTTGGCTCTTGATACACACACGTTCTAGCCAAGCCCTGCCTTCAGCTCACTAAGGAGTCAGGTCTGCAAGGGTGACCCTGCGTTTCGTATCCCCTGGGAAGACGGGTCCAGGAAACTGACTTGCGTAAGAAAGGATGTGGCGCAGGGTTTCGTGTCACTGTCAGAATTCGAAGAGAAAAAGAGAACACATGGGACAGAGGCAAACAGCTTAAAGCAGCAAAGGCTAAGAATTTCCCAGATCTGAAGATGCAAGCCACAGATTTAAGAAGCCCAAGGAAGCCCCACATGACTTTAAGTGTCTAGTGAGCCTGCAGAACACGCGGCGCTGAGTCATCTTGGAGGTGGCCAGGAACGAGGATAAACGACGGCAAACCCTGCAGCCCTGCAGATTTCCCAGTGGGAACAGCAGAAGGTGGGGTGACATCTCCGTGTTTCGGAAGAGACCTAACCGTCAGCCTAGACTTCCATATGAACCAAATGAAAATTACATTCAAGAAGAGAGGCAAAAGAAAAGCCATCAGACAAAGAGTGTGCCACCAGAATGTCTTCATTAAAGGAAGTTCTAAAGGATGCATTGCATGAGGAAGGAAAATGGCCCCAGACGGGAAATTTGAGATGTCAGTGGTAAAAATGTGAGTAAATCTAATAGTCATTGATTCCACCAAACGAGAATCAGCATGTCTCAGGTTAAAAGAGAGAGAGAGAGAGAGAGAGCGCTTAGGACAAAAATAACATAAAGCAGGAGAGGAACATTACAAAGTACGCTGAGATCCTTGTATTGGTTCAAGGGATAAAAATTCCAATGTAGACCTTAATAATGTATAAGTATGTACTTCTAGGGCAACAGCTAAAAGAATAGAAGCAGAGTTTTAACCTTCAAAATAGTAAAGAGAATAGAAAATTTTAATTGAAAAGAGCAAAATTTCAAAAAAAAAGGCAGGGCAGATGGAAAGCACAGAGCAGGACAAGTGTGCCGTTTGTGTGTCAGTAACAACACAAAGTGGACTGAGTGCTCCAGCAACCAGATTAGGTACGTGTTACTCAGAGGAGATGCCTGAAAACATAAGAACTGTGTGTGTGTGTGTGTATCACATATTATACGTACTATAATATACACATAAACTCTTCACAGAAGAAAGCTGATATATTGATACCTGACAAAAGAGATTTTAAAGCAAAGGCGTTTATTAGAGAGAATGGTGTAGAACACCACACCGAGCAACTGTAGCACATATTTTCTTTCAAAGTACAAAGATATCATTATAAAAACTGACCATATACTTGTCCCTGATGCAGATTTCATCACAGGTTGAGACGTTTATGTTTTGTAATTTCAGCTTTTGGATTTGGGGGTGCCTGTGCAGGTTTGTTACTGGATGTATTGCAGGACGGCAATGTTTGGGGTACAGATGATCCTGTCACCCAGCTCATGAGCATAGTACCCAAAAGTTGGTTTTTCAGCCCTTGTGTCCCTCCCCAGTCATCCCAGTATCTCATGTTACCATCTTTATGTCCATGTACTTTAAGAAACTTAGGTGGTATAGAGTATGTTCCCTGACCACAGTGCAGCTGAGGCTAGAAATAAATGTTTTTAAAAAACAGAAATCTCTCACATTTGGAAATTAATAAACAGTTCTAAATAACCTATTATAATGGAAATTAGAAAAAATTTCAATTGAATAGCAAAAGTACATAACACTTGTGGAATGGAATATTTCATCAAAACTTGTGGAAAGGATATTTGCGTCTGCCATGCTAGGTTTTCTTCTGTGGAATCAAACACCTGAGTGTGGAATTAGTTTGTGATTCTTATGTATATTAACATACCCTAAGCATTTATTTGCTTTCTTGCCATATTACACCAGTTACTATTAAGACTGGAGCACTGAGTGTGAAGGGCCACTCTCCCTGAGATTTATTTGGTATATATGCAAAATCGACAAGTCTGTTTTTTTCAACAAGCGCCTGCTATGGTCAGTGCACGTACTGAGCTCTTGAGAGGGTTTAAAGGCGGGATGTAATGACAGATGCAAAACCCTTTAAAAACCCTGGATGGTATTATCAGTGTTAAGAACAACACTCCTGGCCCCAGGATCTGACGTTCTAATAAAGGAGATAGGACCTGTAAGCCACAGCGACTGAGGCAGGAGGAGGCATTTAGGTGACATCAGTATTGGACCTCAGAGTCTTTGTCATAAATAGGGCACTTAGGAGTCGCCCAACACAGTTGTTCAGAGCATATGAGCTCTATTTTCATCTAATGCGTTTGAAGGAAAATGTACTTTAAACAGTCCTAATGATGCTGTCTTTGGAAGTTTACCTTGAGCTGCAAGTAACTCATTCATGTAACATCAGGACAGCTGGGATTCCTCCAGGCATCCTGTAGAGAGAGAGGGACACTCGCGTATGATAGAATATATGCACACACAGGTGATACTGTAACATAAATGCATATCAACGTACGTAGGTATGTATATATGGGGCCCACGCACTTACTGTGTTCCTCAAGTGGCTTCTGAAAGCTCACTCACAGCGATGCCCATGCTTGGAGTTGGGAGGTGACACCTCAGGAATGATCAATAATGCTGTGTTAAATAACTTTGCATATTTAAAAAATGTGATCGGTAACTTCTGTGACCCTGGTTCTTCAACCTGAATGGGCCTCAGAATCACCTGGAGGGCTTGGAAAACACAGATTGCAGGGCTTACCCCACCCCCCACCCAGACTACCCTCGGCAGGCCTGGGGCAAAGCCTGAAGCTCTGCTTTTCTCTCAGATTCCCAGGAGCTGAGGCTGCGGGTCTGGGCCCCACTTTGAGAATAAACATCCAGATCATATTGATCATTTCACTCAATTTATCAATCATTCCAAATAGTATTTTTATGTTCAAAACTCATCTCAGAACATGCCGCACAACTTGAAACACTTCGCAAGGTCTGGATAGAATGTGACCCTTTCTCTGAGGTATAATTTTGAAGGAAGAAAAGATCTTGCTTTTCAGGCATATGTGGAAAGTATCTCACACTTAAAAACAATTTACAGAAAACCTGAATTGCAAAGCATCAATTGGAGGTAACTGTATATATTTCCAAGTAATTTTTCCTTTTACAACATATAGAGAACTCTTCTACTTTCAATAATTTATTTAGATATTATTAGATATTTGAAAGGCCAAGGAACAAAGAAAACTAAAATTAAAGCCTTAGGAAACATTACCAATTGAAGACCCTAAATTAAGATACAGCTGCTTGGCAATTATAATTACATTCAGAGTGAAAGAGAATTTGACTCATAAATAGAAAAGCAGCTTCCACCGGGCTTCCAAGTACGGCTAATCCCAAAACACAGGTGCCTGGAAGATCCTCAGCCACCCCCTTCATTCAAACCCCAACCCTTGTGGACCGCCTGCTGTGTTCACAGAATGTTCTTTACTCAAAAGGATCTCTCATCCTTAAAGCCAATACTCATTCTTCTAACATCCCAGGGACAAAGGCAGCTCATAGTCTCCACAGCACTCGACCCCGCGCTGTCTCACGATCTTTTTGCAGAAGGGAGAGAATTGGAAGAGAACTCCATGTCCTCAAAGGCACCTTCCGAAGTCTGGGGACTTAAATACACATGACGTTCTGCCAGGTGACCTTCTGCCAGGTGACCTTCTGCCAGGTTGCTCCACATTAAATAAAAAAAAGAAAAAGAACGTGAGGTCTCCGGTAGACTAGAATATTTGACACCTGGACAGTCATGGACCATCCAAAATGCATTTTCCCCATCACACATCTAAATGTGTGAGATCCCCATGGGCCCTCTTCATTTCATCCTTCTTTGGGCTTCAAGCCCGATTCCATGAAGCAGATGTAACTGCTGAATCAGGGCACTTCTAACTGCTGGACAAAGAACCCTCGAATTTCAGTGACTGAAAGCCGGAGCTTCCGTCTCAGGACAGTTCAGGTGTCCTGACTTGCAGGCAACATGCCGGCCTGTGGGGCTCAGGAACTGTCTCCCTCTGTCCTTCATCTGCCACCCCCTGGGCCTGGAGAACACCCAGAAGAGACACGAGCCACGTCCATCTGGAAGAACTATTTCACGTGGACCCACCTGGGCTTGGGGGAATGGGAGATGTCATCTCTGGGTGAGCCACAGCTCTGCCCTTGAAGGGACAAGCAAGAGGGCAGGCAGCGTGGCTGACAGTCACCATTGGCACAGCCTTTCACACACCTTACTCTCCTTTGCTTTACATTCGTCTTCACGCTTCCTGAAAAGGAGCTACTAGTGTGGCCCTGAATGAGCTACCTCTCCGAGCCTCAGATGACACCGGTGACCGCTCTGCAATGACTCAGACCTTTATAGTGTAGGATGGCTTGAACCTGGGAGGCCGATGGTGAGTAAGCACTGATGGCCCCACGCACTCCATTCTGGGTGACAGAGCAAGATGCTGTCTCCACCAAACCAAACAAAAATACCAGAAAACCAAAATACTGTATTCAATTAATAAACGTTGAAGTGATAATATTTTGGATATGTTGGGTCAAATACAATATTAAAATTAATTTCGCCTTTTAAAAAACTTAATGTGACTGCCAGAAGTTTTAAAATTACATATGTAGCTCACAGTACGTTTCCATGGGACAGAGCTGATCCTGCAAAATTCAAATTTTTCTCTCAACTTTTAATTTCAAATGTGTTCCTGCTAATGGTCAAAGCTCACAACCAAGAAAACAGCAGGGGAGGGAAACAATATACCCTTTTCCCCTACCCTCCTACATTCTTTAGCTGGAGCCCTGTAAATTAGACAAAAAGCTTAACAAAAGAAAATTACACAGATTTACTTAATAAGTCCATTTGATATGGAAGCCTTCCTAAGGCAGTGGAGACCTGCAGAGACAGTGAGGCCTGAGCGCTTTCTATGCGAGGCTGGACTGAGGACGCGGAGGACGTGGAGGCCGTGGGGAAGCGTGCAAGGGGAGTGAGCTGAGGGTGGCGGGTGGGAACCACGGCAGGGCCTGTGTGTGCTCAGCCTACTCCCGGCTCCCTCTGTCTTTGGAGACGAGGGGGCCTCTCACAGGAGGGTCCTGTGACCCACTTCAGGGGTGGGGAGAGGTCAGATGGTCCCTCCTGCAGCTGTCATTTCTCAAATTCCTTTGGGAAGGAATGTTTTTTCCTTAAAATATTCAGTGTGCCAAGGTGCCCTATTTTGGGGTAGTGTAGTCTGAACCCCATTAGATAGGGGTTCTTGTGGTCATCTGTCCAGATAGATTATCTGGATTTATATTAAGTTAAGTAAGATAGACATATATCTATTTCCCTAAAAAGTGTTCTTTGAAGACAGAGATGAGGAAGGTGACCAAAATAGATGGTCAGGCTCAAGAGCGTTTCCCCGCGACCTGCACCAAGCTCGGGTGTGAGCCTGACCCTCCCTCTGTCCTCCCCAGTTCACAGAAATCAGCCACCGAATCCTGTGCTCGTACAACACCAACATCGAAGAGCTCTTTGCAGAGATCGATCGGTGCTTGGCCATAAACCGAAGCGTTCTTCAGCAGTTCGAAGAAAAATACGGCCATGAGATGACAGAAGAGGAATGGGAGAAAATCCAAGTACAGGTGGGCTTGGCTGGCGGCCTGGCGACCAGCGGACTCGGCTGCAGCTGGGGAGGCTGTGGGGAGCGGCTGGTGGCGGGAGGTCGAGGACTCACTTTGGGGAGCCTGGGAGTGTCGGGCCCCGGGGTAACCTCTGCCCCATGGTAGGACCTTCGTCGTGGCCTTTAGGGTGACGGCAAAGGACCCTTTGGTTTGAAATTCTGGAAGTTCCTGTTGTATGATGCTGTTTTGTGAACCGTGAAAACACCGAAGGGAACAGATCGCCTTCCCAGGTTTCCTGAAAGTTCCAGCTTGAAAACGACCATGAGATGACTCAAGCCAAGGCGGGGAAAACTTACTTTAAAAACCATAAAATTAGGAAATTTGGGAAAGTTTAGCAGTTAGTCAAGTGTTTTGAAAAACAGTCCTCTTGATTGCTTACTTAAAAGGAAATATTAATGTTCAGCATTTTAGAAAGTATTTTTGTTTCAAAATTGCTTGTCACAGGTGGGTTACTAACCCTTTCCACAGTTCCCAGGAGTCACAGAGCATATATATAAAATCCATGTGATTTTAACACAGAATGAAACTTCCGCATGTTTAGAAGACCCACGTCTCGGGGCACATGATGCTCATTTCAGTTTAAGTCACTTTCTGCTGTGATGAAACTAACCTGTGTGGCCTCCTCCTGTCCCGTGTGCCGCAGGCTCTGCGCCGGGAGACCCACGAGTGCTCCATCTGCCTGGCGCCTCTCTCCCCTGCTGGCGGTCAGCGCGTGGGGGCGGGCCAGCGTTCCCGAGAGACGGCCCTCCTGTCCTGCTCACACGTGTTCCACCATGCATGTCTGCTCGCACTGGAGGAGTTCTCCGTGGGAGACAGGCCTCCTTTCCATGCCTGTCCTCTCTGCCGCTCCTGCTACCAGAAGAAGATTCTTGAAAGTTAGGTAATTCTGAGGAACAAAGTTTACCATCATTTTGGATGAACTGCATGAGTTCTGGGTTAAGTACTACAATGCAATCTGTTTCCCAGGGAAATAAGCTATTGGTAGTTGTAGGAAATCTAAGTATATTTTAAAAGATGACAGCACATCTAATTTTAGTCTTTTGTCTCTAAAAAGTAAATTTCAAATTTATGAGTTGAATCACTTGAAATATGAATGGCAAAAAATGAGAGCTTGCTTGCTTTTAAAAATGGAGGTTAAGAGACAGCTAGTGTCTGACCGACACTCCTTACAGTAAGTTCCAAATGTAAAACACTCCTTAAGTTCCAAATGTTTTCCACTAAGACTTTGTCTTGAAGCCTTTGCCATTCCTAATATTCCTTTTGTAATAATTGCTGTATTTGTCATAAAATATGAAAATATTCAGTTGTATGCAACATAAAAAATGCAAAGTTTAATGTCTTAGAGCAATAAAGACTGTTTTAGTTCATACATTAAAAAATGCGAACCTTTTTGGATAAGAATTGTTTTTGTCACTGGTTTACTATTACTGGAAGCTTGGTTATTTACAGTAACCAGTTACAGTCTTATCAGTTAGGTTAACCCTAGCCAAGTAACAGGTAAAGCCCCAAATCTCAGTGGCTCGCTGAAGACACATGATTTCTGAGGTGTCCAACCCATGTCAGCCGTGGGGTGAGGCAGGGTGAGGGTCGGCCACGTGTGACCCTGGCTCCCTTTTGTCTTGTGACACAGTCTCCTTTGCCCCAGAGTCCCCAGTGAATCCTCCCACTGCTGGTGGAGGGGCAGGAGGACATTGTTCCAGGCCACGCTTGGAAGTGGCGCTCATCACTCCAGCCACAGGTAACTACAAGGGGCAAGGAAAGGGCAGGGTGTGGGCCTAAGGGGAAGAAGCCAAGTGGGTGTACACATGGCACACGCTCAGAATAAACCAGCGTCTAAGGTGAGAAGTACCAACATTTCTATTTTTATCTCATTCCTTAGAAAAAATACTCTCATGTGTTTTGTGATGTACACATTACATAGCTACATATGTATCAGTTATGAATAAATATGCATGTATTGTGGTGTGCTCAAACATTTTTTAATGATGTATACCATCAAAAAATTTGGAGACTAATTTGGAGAATGCTTTAAACAATGAGTAAGCACTTTTATTGTAAGAGAGCAGAGGGAAACTGAATCACAGAACCTCAATTTTCTGTAAGCTGACATTTCTCTCCCCATATTGTGACAGGCAAAGCACTGGCATGTGTCAAAGGCCGGGGCAGTCCGATTCTGCTGCCCCAAACTTTGGATCTAGAGGGAGGGACAGTCCCGGAGATACACGGATCATTCAGTGATGGGAAGAGCCCAGGAAAGGCTGTGCCTAGGGCTGTGCCCAACACTTCTTCCGGGGCTTTCTCATGACATCCGTGAGCCATGCCATGAACGCCTTTCCTGCTTATGTTGGCAGAGTCCATTTCTATTCTTTGCAACTAGTGCAGTACTTTACTGACGCAGGAACTAGTGTTAGTTGTAGGCAACAGATACTCAGGAAAATCGGTGGGATGAAAGGCAGGAATGGTCATCTGACTTCACTGAGGATGAGGGTCATGAAAATCCCATGAGTGCTGAGAGTAGTCCAGGGCAGCCTGTGACAGTTAACAGAAAATCAGGTAATTTTCTTACTGAAAAGTGGCCATGGAATGGCACGCCCATGGAAGGCTTGGGAGACCAAGTTGCAACCACAGAACCATAAAAAGGACCCGAGTGAAGTAGCTGCTTCTCTGGACAATTTGAAGATAATGACACATTGTCAGGTCAAGTCATGAAAACAATGCAAGCTTTTACACAATTACTCCACAGCCTCATCAGGTCTCTTCTATGAAAATTGGGACACTGACCAAGAAAGAGTGGGGCCTTCAGAAACATGAGTTCATGGGAGGACTCGGCGGACAGGGAGAGCCCTGTCTGCTGCCCTCATTGTGGCTTCCCGGTCAGCTACCGCAGTCCCTCCGGGATGCGGCCGTTCCTCCCTTATTTTAACAGGTTGTAACCCAGTTGTCTGGAAGTCACCTTGCAAGATGAAGCCACTTCTTGTGCCTTCTCACACATCCCTTTTTGCCTTTAAATCCACTTAATTAGGAGCCTGCCATTCCACGAGCTGGGGGAAATCATTAAACCAGTATCAAGTCCAGAAAGAGAATTCTTAGAGAATTGTGGGACTGGAGGCATTTGATAAGAATAAAGGTTATAATCTAGAATGAGGATACCTGTCATCAATCTTTACCAACCAGGTAATAGAACTGTAAGGCACATGACTGAAAAAGAAACTGAAAACCTAAAACAAAGAAAAAATGAGACTGCGGTTGTACTGGCCTGTATTTCCATCCAGTTCATCTGCCCACTATGAGTGTGACCCCAGGCAAATGTCTGCAGCTTTCTGAGTGGCGTTCCTTATCTGTAAAATACAGGTGTGTATTTTCTGCTTCGCATGGTGGTCCTGGGGGTGACTGTGGGACCACAGAGCACTCGACCCTCCACACCACACCCCAGGCCCCTCTCACCACCCCTGCTTCCAAGTCTTTGATGAGATTCCACAGTAAAGACTAAAAAGAAAAGAAAAAGTAAATCACTCTTCAGACTGAAGGAAAGCTAGGCTAGAGAGGTGGCGAGGAGGAAGTGAGCAGGAGGAGACGGACAACGCTCCACTTGTCACTTAGTTCTCTGATTCTACTGTGAAGTCCACACAGAAAAACAGTGGATGACTTCAAGATGCTGTAAAAGAAAAGCTGCAGAATCACTATAACTAGCTACAGCAGTAACAAATGTGCTTGGTTCTGAAGCGTCAGTGTTTGTAGGCAGCATCGTTCATCCAATAACAGCTTTTCAAAGGGAAAGGAAAGCAAAGGAGAAAATATTAGAACAGCCACAAAACGGTTCTAGTAAGTGATAAAACCTCAGTTCTCAGATCCACAGCCCACAGGTGACTCTCCACCTCCTCACGCTCAGACATGATAGATTCTCCTACATCGCTCTGGTCCTCTACAGCGACTCACAACATCAGGGCCGCCCTGCTGTTCTTAATCCAGGCTCATGAACTTGACTTCTGTAGCACTTTTAGAAGTAACAGCAGAACACCATAACCAAGAATAATGAGGCTTTGTCTGAAGTTCCTATTTGGTTACAGTTAACCTTGGAGAAAAATGTCTCCGAATCAAAGAACACAGAATTGGAAGCTGAATAACTTCTCTTGAAAAGCTAAGTTTATTGCCTAATATTCCTTCAAGACATGTGGATCAATCACCAAGTTTTGAAATTTTGTCTATTTGTTAGTTTTAGGAACTTCTATTTTCTACAATGCAACAGGTAATTTGCATACACACTACTTTTGCTTCAGTGATATTTGCAGCAATAATTTTTACCTAAACAATATTCAAAAACCAAAAAAACAAAAAATACTCCAAAAAGGTCTTTGTATTATTTCTTCTTTCAAACCACAATCCAAAGGGATGCTTTTCAAACTGAAGTTTGCCATCTATTAGGAGGCCACAAGGTAACTTAGTGTCTGTCTAGTATTTTTAAAAATAACTAAAACAGAAGGTGCCAGCATGCACACTTAGGAAAAATGGGTACTGTCTTGTTACATTTTTGCTTATATGTATGAGAGAGAGAGAGAGAGAGAGAGAGAGAGAGAGAGAGAGTGTATGTGTGTAATGGGTTATCTCTTACTGTGGTCAAAGAGTTGAAAGCCACTGACGAGTAGGTCTCTGTCTGCCAGTAAATTAACCAGATGCTAACAGCATTTATTCTTCCAAGAACTCTGGGATAAGCTGCCCAGACCACAAGTAGGTGCTGTTCAGTCCTTTTATGGAAAAAATTAGAGAAATCAAACAAGTCTAAATAATTCAAGTAATTAAATAAAATACATGCTATCAATTATTGATGCTACATTTTGGGTTATAAGAAATTGATCTACCAATAACTGCACAACAGAGAAAGAAAATATCCATTTCTTCCTTAATTCAGCATTCATCAGAATTATTACTGCCCTGTATAAAACTGAAATGGAATTAGCCTACAAATTCCCTTAAGTTTTAGCCATGAAGGTATTTAAGATGGAAAAAACAGAAGTATAAGCCCCACATATAAATGCTTATAAACCAAATATGAAATCACTTTTTGTAAAACTTTAATTTCTAAGACATTTTAAAGTCACACTAAAAGTATCTCATCGAAACAAGAGATAACAATGTGTAAACAAAACAATCTGTAAACAAAAATGTTTACTAGTTTACTAGTGTGTCCAAACCTTACTTTTAAAAGTTAACATTATACCAGTTTTTTCAAGTTTAAAAAGTAGGTGCTGCATCTATGTTCACATTTTTTAAAAAACCTATAATAATTCTGCCTTTGGCCGGGCACGGTGGCTCAAGCCTGTAATCCCAGCACTTTGGGAGGCCGAGACGGGCGGATCACGAGGTCAGGAGATCGAGACCATCCTGGCTAACACGGTGAAACCCCGTCTCTACTAAAAAATACAAAAAAAACTAGCCGGGCGAGGTGGCGGGCGCCTGTAGTCCCAGGTACTCGGGAGGCTGAGGCAGGAGAATGGTGTGAACCTGGGAGGCGGAGCTTGCAGTGAGCTGAGATCTGGCCACTGCACTCCAGCCTGGGTGACAGAGCGAGACTCTGCCTCAAAAAAAAAAAAAAAAAAATCTGCCTTTGTGCATTAAGTAACGTGCTACCAACAAAACAAGCACATAAGAGCCTGTACATGATGAAAACCTGTGTCCCTGGCAGACGAGGCCTTCACTGAGACTGCAGGGAGAGCCACGGGCACCCAGCAAAGTGTGGGAAGGCTGCATTGCCGCTGAGAGCAGGTACACATGAGCCTTTAATGCATGTGCAAGCAAAACGCCAGAGGCTCCATCCATCCCTACTAACCAGCACCTTAGTGCAGCAATTTAAG